TTCTTTTCAATCTTGTCATTTTTCCTTTCTAGTCTTTTGACAAAATAAAACACATAAAGTTCGAAGAAAAATTACGGACTCCTAATCCTTCGATTACTCTTTTTCTTAAAAGTAAGAACATGTTGGCTTTAAAATTGTACCGTAAGGAGAAAAACTTACATACTTCCATTGCATTATCTACTTCTTTTTCTAAGTACCAATTATGTTACTTATCATAACAGGAGAGAGATAATGAGACAGTAAAACATGAGTCATACATGAGTCAAAACAACCCCTCATACACCTGTTATTAACGTTTGCTTTGGTGTAATGTAATGGCAAGTGTGCTGGAGGTTGAGGCTATCTGAAATTGCTTCGCTGGCCGACCGGCCAATGACATATGGCTTGATCTGATTTGTTCCTCTGTGGTTGTCTGTCTCTGATTCGTATTCGAATCCACGTACGCTTTGTCTACTAAACATAATCAATAAACAATCATGGAGGAAAGGATAATGGCTAATTAGTGTGAGAGGCCAAAAAGTCTACTAATCATAATCAATAAACAATCCCGTACGCTGTGCTCATTTCTTTAAACACTGAAAAAAAACGTCATCAACCTTCTTCTTCTTTTTTGTTGGTTAACGCCGTTTTATTAAATTAGCGTTTTCTATTTCTGGTAACATGGGATATTAGTCCCATTACCTACCCACTTTGACGAGTCGAATAATTTAATAAATAAATTGTGGAAACAAAGTTAAAATAATGTGCGAGGAAAGGAGGTGCTCTTTTAATCATTTTTTACATTAATTTCTTATTATTATAGTTTCTTTCGTATGACGTAAATAACATTCTCCAAAATTCATCCCCAACGGTCATGAAATGTCGTTTTCTCATTGAATACGATATTTCTATCTACCATCATAACTGGCAATTGGTCATGTCTTGTTCTATGTCTCTAAACACACATCTTCCTTTCATATATTTGAGAAAAAGCATTATATATGATACCAATAACATGTTTTTTTTTATCATTTGTGTATCTGCGTATAAAAGATGAATCTACATAAAACATATTCCACGTATTTATTTTCACTGATTCTGTCATCGTGTGTATCGCATAGTGAGAGAAACAAAGACAAAAAGTGCACGAAATGGTAAAATCAAAGTCTTTCAAGTGTTACGATAAATTTTTGAAATTAAAAAGTACTAGTATATGTCCATGCAAATTATAACAGGTAAATTGTCTAAATTTTGAGATTAAGATGTTGGTAATAGAAGACATGTTATAATTTGGATGGAGAAAATCCTTTCATGTATCATGTTGCCACGTGTATAATTAATTATGAGGTTTTTGTTTTGTGGGGAGAATTATGAGAGCATGTTATGTGATGAACTGGAAAGTGACGTGGTATGGCGTGTGTCTGTGTGCCTCTGATCCCAACCCAACCCAAATATCCAGCAGTAAGACTAAAGCATAAGAATGGGACCCACTCTCCCGCTGCTTGTGTTTTATTAACGTTGAAGAACCGCCAAGCCATCTCCAACCACCCATTTTTCGGCCCAACTTAGCCGATTTCGCGGTGAAGCAAGACGACCATCCAGCGGTCCATCACCACGTGATCAGCTTATGGACGTGTGACTCACAGCCCCCCACGTGTCACTCCATTTCGAAGCTTATTTTGGCCGTCGACATTTTTGGTCGTGCGTGGGGGTGGGCCGTCTGCGCACAGCAGCAGCTGAGTCCGAAGGACAACAACAGTGCTGTCTGCAGCGTCGGCTGTCAAATACAACGACTACTGTTGGGTTTTGGCCCGTTGCGACTCACTACTACTCACTGAGTCATTTTGAACGTGCTCCACGCCCTCTTGCAAAAAAATTCTCTTTATCATCATTGAATTCTGAATCGTGCATGTCTTTCTTTTTCCAATTCTGATTCGAATAAAAGTATTACACATAAAATAAAGGATTTTGGAAGGTGATACTCATTTTTCCTGTGAATCACGGTTTAATACATGAACAAACATAATTCATTAAAAACACAAAAGAAAAACAAGGTTCATAATTTTTTTTTGTCCTTATCGCTAGCTATAATGACATATGAGGTTTTATTATTATTTATTATTTATTATTATTTTTTTATCAATAAAGAATTAGACCCCAAAAAACAAAAAGCCACATACGAAACCTCACACCAATTCACAATTTAAGACGATAATTAACTTGATAAATAGTCTACGTTTCACCGTTTAAACATTTCTTGTATCTTTTAAGAAGAAAAATCTTAGAATGTGGTTAGTGGGAAGCACAAGAGAGAGAGAGGTGAAGTAAGTGGGAGGTCAGGTGGCCCCAGCAAAAAGTCAGGCCACATAGTCGGTGAAAGCCAAAGAACACACTAAAATAGTAGTAGGTGGGTTCTGTCCAGAAATTTCAAATTGCAGTAATTAATCCTAATCCCTCACCCCATATATACCCCCTTCTCCTCACTCTCTCACACACCAACACCCTTCCTCTCTCTCTCTCTCTCTCTCTCTCTCTCTCTCTCTCACTCTAAAAAGAGAACACT